GGTGGGAGAGGGGTGGGGTGAAGAGAGCAAGGGGGTGGGGTGTGAGAGAGGGAGAGGGTCTTTTTGTGCCTTTGAGGACTTGATCCTGTTCCTTGGAGGGGGTCTTGGGATGGATGGTTGGGCATGTCTGTAGGGCCTCCCATTATCCCTGGGCCTTTACCTCTCTCTGGGCCCAGAATTTGGAGCTGATGGAGAGGGAAGGCTCAGAAAACTGGGACAGGACAGCCCCCAGCAGCTGAGTGAGAAGGATGGCCCAGGCTCCAGCCCTGTTCCCAGGGCCGGCGGATGCTGAGGGTAGGATGCTTTCTCCCTTCTCCCCGGGGTCTGCCTGGGCTTCTCCAGACACGGGCAGAAGCCATATCCCGGCAGGCTCCATCCATCACCCGGCCCCATGAACCCTGATCTCGAGGGCCCTGGCGGTTTGTTTCATTTCTCAAGGATGCTGGGCCAAGTGCTTCTGCCAAGGGGAGTTCAAGACAGACCCCTCCCTCCAACATCAATCGGAAAGGTTCGCTGGACATCAGCACCGGAAAGTTGCCTAGCAACCATCTAGGGGTTCTAGGCCACCTCCCTCCCACTTTACAGATGAAGAAACTGAGGCCCACCAAAGGGAAGGTCCAGACCCAGAACACAGGCCTCCTTTCCTCGCCCTGGGGCTGCCAAGGGGGCCAAGATCTGAGATTCTGCTCCCATGCCCCGCGGGGTTCGTCCGCGCAGCGACCCCTACTGGCCATTTTGGTCACTGCACCTACCTCGGGAAAGAGGCCAATCCTGGCGCCGCAGGTCCAGGGAAGGACATGGGGTTGAGTTCCCGCAACGACGAGAGCGAGCGGGCAGAGCTTCGGCTCCGAGGCCGCGACTAACCCGAAGCAGCGGGACGGGGTCTCCAGAGGTCACTGTGGCCGAGGGTGGAAGCCTGGGGCGCGGGAGCTGGTGCGGCTCCAGGAAGCCTGAGGGGCCTTTAAACACACAGCGAAGGGGACAATTTTACAAGGTAGAGACTCAACTTTCTCCACTCCCCTAAAAACTTGGATCGAGTTAGGGAAATTCTTTCTAAAAGGTTAGAATAACCAGTGATTCTTAGCCTTTGGGGATTAGTATCTGGTAATAATATGGGCACTTTCCCTGGAAAAATGCACACTCAGTGCAGTTTCAATTTCAGGCAGCTCATGGAGCCCCAAGAGGTCCAGGGACCCCAGGCTAAGAAGCCTTGGTTACAATGCTGTGAAGTATCATAGGTGGGATTACTGATACGATGGAGATGAGGGTGGTGGGATGAATCAGAAGCAGGAAGGGCCTCCCGGTAGCTGGCACAAGCTTCCCATTTTACAGATGAGGTTAACTGAGGCCAGAGGGCAAGGGACTGGATGAAGGTCACAGACCAGCCAAGCAGGCAAAGTAGTCCCAGGTTTCCTGATGCCTTCCATGGTGCCAGCTGTCTCCTGTCCCCATGTTAGCCAGTCCTGGACAGTTGTAACTCTCCTGTTCTCCTAGCGCATGCCTGTGTCACCTCCTCTGAGATAAGTCTGGGTTGTAGGAGAGGTGGCAGGACTCAGGAGACAGCCAGATCTGGGCAGCAAAACC